GCCTGGTTTTCTGGTGTTTGTTCCTCGCAGTAAGTAAATAAATAATGCTGTATTGCTGGGAGGAGGAAACCCCAAAATCGACAGACAATTTTTCGAAGCCTGGTATTCCAGTGAATCGGCAATTAGCAGGCACATTGACATAGATAAAAATCCATGAGAGGAAAATCTTACGCATAAAAAGTCAAACCTCAGGTCAAGGAAACAGTCAACACCGATACAAATATGCTAGAGGGTGTGAAGAAAGAGAAGAGCGACCAATCACGTCCAAAGTCGCCTGGAGAAAAATCAAAAAGCTCATTTGGAAGTGAAGTATGCTCTGAAGATGTTGTCTAGTAGGGCGGTAAAAGCTTTGCAAGTAGACAATCGAGTACAGAGAACACAACTACATCAAAACCACCCACCTCAGCTACAAATCTTCTCCATTATATATGTATCACTGGAAGTTTTACCAGATAAAATTATTCTATAATTATACTCTACGACAGTGCCCAAATTTTCTTCCTCCATCGGTCATTAATTGATTGACTAGGATACATATGTTGTGCATCATGGACCACAGCTTTTTTCAACGAGCAATATTGACTAAAATAGGAGTTAGTGTGTTAAGAGGGTTTAGGTGTGATCTGACCAAAGCATTGCACCAATCGCTACCGTTTTCGGTTGTTTGTTTTAATCGTTTATTATTACAGTTGTTACACTGATTACCTCTTATTATTAATAAGCAATTCGATCTCCCACACTTGCAAAAATTAAACTCTTATAATTAGTTTTGCGTAACAGATAACTTGGAGATAAACTATGTCGACTTAAGAATCCATAGTATGATTTATCACCTACTCAATTACATAGGTCAGATGAGTGGATGCACACCAATTACGTTGTGAGTACATAAGTATCATTAATATAAGAATAAAACTTGTGCGCAGTGGTAGAGTGTAATTCCATTATGGGTAAATTTTGTTTTGATAAAGTCTCACAGTGTTATACAGTAATGTTTACTGATGACGTTTCGAGCACAATTTATTGCTCATAATCATATCAAGGTAATCACACGACTTCCTAAATTCATTTATATAGTTCCATTGTTTTTCTCTTGATTTTCACTTGATTTGATTGGTAATAGTATTTTCCATATTTCAGGTATGAGTGACGAGTCATTCCTATTGCATGTGTTGGGTGTAGACTCGATGAACAAGGATTCAGTAATCAACCTCTCTCTCCACCTACCTAGATTACTTTTTAGAATTTTAACCCTCTCCCACCCTATTGTGTGGTTGTGTGTTAGCACATGCATTGCAATTGCTGAGCTTTTTTCTACCATTCTTACCTTAGCTAACTTCTTATGCTCTGACAATCTGACTACCCCTGACCTACTAGTGCTCGAAACGTCATCAGTAAACATTACTGTATAACACTGTGAGACTTTATCAAAACAAAATTTACCCATAATGGAGTACATAAGTAGTTAGTTGGATATAGGATGATTGACCGCGCTAAGTCAAGTGATCTAGAGAAAAAAAATTGGCCACAGCATACAATCACACACAGTATGCTAGGGTAGGGCAATGAGGTTAGGTGGAAAGGCAGGTTAACCACTGAATGTAAATCAATAGCCAATATATGTGTAATGAGCGACGGAATACTAATCCCCAATGTATGGGATCTTAAATTTTTAAATGAAAAACACACTAGGGTATAGAAGACTACATAAAGCCAATAGATTGTACTCAGAAACGTCATTCAATTACCAATACTGTATCACTAGCACTAGGTGTTATATAAAATTACCTCATATAATATGGAATGGTTCAGACAGTAATTTGTAATGCTAGTAGAACTCTGTGAAATCTAGTGAACTGCCTCAAAAGAAAGAAAAACCACAGATACACAGTCCAGTACACAATGTAAAAATGCCTTGAAAATTATCAAGAAAAAAAACTTTCACGCCTGTTGATAATATGATAATAATTACTGTATGCGTTTGTTATCCTTCAACCCCCTTATACTTATTTTATACTTATCAAAACAATTGGCAAGATTAGCATTTCTGCCGTCAATCTAGCGGAACTATGTGTGCAGTTGACTAGAGATTTAATATGACCAAAAGCAGTGTGCTAAGTGTCAAGGATGCTTATCTGACTAAATTTAGACTAATGAGTCCATTAAAACAGTCAGCTCAGGCAATGTCGAATGCTGTATTAGTAAGCTGTAGGCTGTCGATGTGATTGGTTTGCACAACAGAGATTGGAAATATAAAATTCTATTTTTAAACTGCATGTTATCAAATTAGTAAGGACAATGTTGCTTTTTATTAATGGTGTTATCTTTCCTGGGTACAGAAAATCTTCACTTGTAATGAAAATAGTGCATTGGTGGTCCAGCGGAGGAATGCTTACCAGCCGCACATGTGGTCGGGGGTTCGATCCACGGCCGACTCCTCCCGAATTTCGATAGGATCTTTTCTCCACAACTAAAATAGCTTAGAAGAGAAAAAGAGAATTTATACAAATCATATAATAACAATAAACTCTCTAATAAAATCTGAAGTACAAAGACCAAATGGGATATTTAATAATAATTTTCTTATCATGTGAGAATCCTTCTAACATCTGAAAACTTTTTAATCAACTTACAAGCAGAAAACAAATTTCAGTTGATGCATATCCTGATGTAAAAGCCTTAAATAGATCTCTTATACTGCAGCAAGGTAATATGACTAGAACTGATGTTTCTAGTCACGTAAATGAACATTACCTTGGTTTTAATGAAAAGGATGTATTATCATGTCTCAAATTCTTAAATCCATCACATAGCCTAGGACCAAATGGTGTACCAAGCATTTCGTCTCAAAAGTGTACTGATATTTTGTGTTATCCGCTTATTCAAATCTTTAATGAGTCGTTTCACAGGGATACAGTACCTGTCTCCTGGATACAAATGAGGGTGGTGCCTGTACCATAGTCATCTTCTGGATCAGGTTCAAAGTTTAGACCATACGTTGTGGAGATGTGATACAGACAATGTGTTCCAATGGAATATTATTCTCACATATTCCCACAATCATTACTGCATTAGCAACATAATGCTATATATATATATATATATATATGAACATTCTATGTCACGTCAGTTAATGTAAACAAAAATCACACACTCAGTGATCAGTTAAAGAATATAATACAGAATATATATAAAATAGCGGTTTGCTCACTTGAAAATATACCTTGGCTTCCGTATCTTGCCTTCTGTTGTTAGAATGTGTCGATTTTCGAAAACTATGGGGAAACGTCTCTTGCATGTTCTTAAACCCTCTTTGAATTCTTTCAGTGATCTAAAGCTGTTTGCTTACAAATTCAGTAGAAGCACATTAAGTACTGTCATTGTACTCCATCACAACATTGTTTCAAGTCTTAATAAAGGCGCAAAGTTTGTTTGAATCTCCTTTTTAGACTACATTACTAAGCAGACTGATTTCAGCAAACACTGAGTCCTGGGTTTGAGTGGAAAGCGCTCCACTTCGTTGCTAACGGAAACTAGTGTGCGTCAAAGCGCTATAGTATCTCCATTTCCTTTTTCATTCTCTTTGCATGACCTTCCACATTCTTCCAAATATAACTTCTTCAAGTATGCTGATGGCCTAACTATTTCTGTCCCAGTAGTTTCTGGTTTGGATTCTTCTGATATGAATGGATTCTTGTCTGAAGTTGACCAACGGTCCCAGGTAAATGGTCCTAAACTAAATCATCTAAATGTCATATTGTTGATTTTAGTTCCAGATGCAAACAAGACTTACTTGGACTGATTCAGTCGCATGATTCCTGTAATATTGATGGCACTGTGATAGGGATTAAATCGAATATCTGTCATCTCTGCATCAGTCTCTCTTTGAATTTGTGTTAGTCGTCTCATATTCTGTTGATTTCTAAAAAATCTCTCCATTGACTTATTACATAAAGAAGTTGAGACTTTCTGGCATAACCCGACCTCTTCTCTCACAACTTGTTAATTCATGTATTCTCTCCGTTCTCCTTTATTGTTCACCATTATTCTTCCCTGGACTTCTCAAAAAAGACTTCGTCATATTACGTAGAACACTGAAGGCTGTAAGTAGGGCGTGTGCCTTTGACTCAGCTAACTGACATTATTGTCAATAGGTGTTTAAATTCTTTCAAGCATTTGGCTAAAGTTATCTTGTCTTATACGGGGCATTGTCTTAATTCTCAACTTTCTCCTTGTATCTCTTCGAGTAGAATCAGAAGAAACTTCATAAGAATTTACGCTCGCACAACTAAATGTAAAAATTCTACCACACCATATTTAGCGGGGGTTTTGTGTGAAGAGACAGTCAGATGTCAGAAAAAACTTTTAAACTTTTTAAATCAGTAATCCGAACTGCAAAATATAAGCAAAGATTATTATGAAATGTACTATCTGTGATACTGTCTACCTAAACTTCAATTATATTTTCATCAACATTCTGTTTATAATGGTTTCTTTATTGATAATATTATTAATATTTTAGAATTTATGTATACGTGCATATTCATAAGAGAAGTTAAATTGTTGCAATATGTATAAAAACGCTGAGAATTCTATTGTGTATAATTATTATTGTTTAGAATTCAGTGATTATAATAATAATAATAATTATTATTATTATCCACGGTCGACTCACTCCTGGGTGATAACCCCTGTAAAGGGGGAAGATTGGGTGAGATAACGATAACTTCCATCCGTAGAAATAAAACCACTGCTACTCAGGCATCAAAGCTCATGCTTGAGACCCTGTATTTCGCTTGGAATGCAAATGAATAAAATTTTTAAAAAAGTAGTGAAAACATGCCACATAGATTGCAGTTGTTTTCTTTTTGTTTTTTCAAACCAATAATTCTGAATTACACCTACATACTGTTTTAATGTAAATCTGATGTCTCAGTGAATTTACTTATACAATGCCTGAATTGTTTCATTATTATTATTATTATTATTATTTTTACCAGCCTCTGGTGGACTGAGTGCACATGATCATCGAACTAAAACTCTTTGGCTTGGTGTCGTCAATCTTCTCCGGGAACGTGATCTAATGCCCACCATCGCATTTTCCTTCTCTCGAACATCTTTAGAAATATTGGCTAGTCATTTGTCGTCAGTAGATTTACTGAATCACAGTTAGTGCATATTTTATACATTTTGATTACTGTGTAAATTACTGTGTGATTGTTTGTTTATCATGTTCTGTTGTTTGTTGGTTTTTATTGCGTGCTTTTTGTTTTGTTTATATATGAAGTAACTGCATTCAAATCATTTGCATGAAAACTTGTTGCCGTACTAGACAAAAATTATGCTAGTAGTTGTGTGCATCTCACTTGTTATATGAAAATCGAAAGTCAACTACTATCAATTAGCCATAATAGAAGTTAAAGTGCTAGTATTTTAAACTTCAACTGGATTCCTTTGACTGAATGGAATTGTAAGTAGGCAGGCATATTGAGATTATTAAATGGTGGATGTTGACAGTGTAATTCCAAACAAAATTCTCTACAATGTACTAATTAATGACAATTCTGTTTCGTATCACTAGAGTTCTATGCGTAAGCTCTTCTAGTTCCCCAGTTGGGAGACTAAAATATCGCGTTCATTTGCATTTCTTCATCCCATGATCAAATTAAAAAAAATTTAATGGCATAAAATGCACAAATCACACCATACACATCACATACTTTGACAAACACCCAGTAAAGTTTTACAGTTGATAGATGATTACATTTTAGATTGCGAATATTTTATATGTCATAGTTTTTTTTCACCGAAGTTCAAATTAGTCCACAGCAGCGTTGTGCTGCACAGCGTAACCATCAGACTAGACATTCCATGTGTCTCTCCCCCTTTTATGACTGTGTCATTGAAAGTAGAAGTCAGGGAAAGACTAGCTGTCTTTAGTCAGTCTATCTGTCTGTTTTCAACATAGAACTCTGCACTGATGTGTAGCAGTTCAAGTCACCACACTCTCTCTTTGTAGCACACAAAGCAAGAGAACAAAGTAGAAGAAATGCAAAATAGAGACAGTAGACAAGGATATAAGACTACAAAAGGAATAGTAATAACGAAGAACAATATAGTTTGACTGGGTATCATAAGTCACAAGGAGTGGATGCATCTCCGCCAGCTATTGAGAACGATTATGAGCCATATCACCAATTGTTTCCAACCGTTTGTTTTTACCGTCCCGAGAACCCCAACCAGGTATTCGCATTCTATCTCTCGTGTTAAGTGGTATATTATGATCAGTAATATTAAGATTAGAAGTAGAGTGCCAGATAAGTAGGGTATGTCAACCGATCAGGTTGTAAAGCTACATCGATTAAGATAGCAAGGTCATATGTTACACATGCCTATCCATCTTCTTCCTCGACATGCAGTGTTCGCTGACATGGGATTATTCAAGTTGCACGTCTTTGGTGTATATTCGATAAACTAGGACTAAGTAGCCAATCTGTTTCTCCACATCTCTCTTTTAATGGTGTTATTATGGGCCAGTACTAGGCTTTTTGTTAGTTCACTTATTTTTTTATATTTTTGATTACAGCTTGATTCCACACCGTATTTTTGGTACAGGTATGGAATTTTCAGCATGGATATCGGTAGCCCAAATTTTGCAGGCCGATCATAGATATCAGGTGTGCGTCGGCAGGGGATCGAACCTCGGACCATGTGCATGGTCGGCGAAAATCCTAACCACTGTGCCACCGACGCTGAGAGTAGCAACGGCATCTCCAGTATCCTCCGTAATAGCAGATATAATTACGGGGATTTGGAAAATATCTTGCTCAACAACCTATGGGATTTACAACTAACTGCTCCTCTTGTATGAGAGGTTAATGATGCTGTCTCGGTGCCTAGACCTCGATTATTTGGTGGTTGCTCCTCATATCTCAGCTGGTAGACCGCCGGATCAGGGTTCGGAGGCTGTTGGTTTGAATCTTGCCACAACTACTAAATCTTCATTTCACCGTCTCAGTCATTATGCACTACATTGGTGATGGTCTGTCAACCTATGGATACCTCAGGAAGTCCTAGTATCCACTATTTATTCCTTCGGAGTGTTTTAACCAGTGAATTTTTCATATTCAAAGCGTTACGCTGCTCTTCTTCTTTATAATCACTCTCTTACAGACGAAAAACAACAAGTTAAAAGTTTTCTCAATGCTTCCGTTATCAAGCGTTTAAGAAAATGTGATCGATATCTGGCTTCTGTACAGTTTATCAGTAAATTGGCTGAAAGAGGATTGGCTGTTCATCATGCTGGCATGATGCCTTTGTTAAAAGAAGTAGGCTATGTGTTTTACTCTTTTTGCTTGTTTTTTGTATTTTGTGCGTATATCATTCAATCGCTGACAGAGCAAACTAGTCATAATTAACCGAGTGGTCAGATGGCTCACCGACTTAAGCCCTGGGCTCCCAATGAGTTGCGGGTTTGAACCCCGTGCGACGTTCATTATTTCGTCCAATATCCATACATACTTCACTCAGTAAGCTTTATTTCTTTGTTGTTCAAATCTTAAATGATCGCATTCAGATAGTGTTTTTTATGCTTGTCAGTTAGCTGTTAGATAACAAGTATTATGATTTTCAAAGGGTATTTGTTAATCAAAATCAGTTGTCAGTCAAGTGTAAAGTTTGGTCGTTAAACTAGGCGACATGGGACTATTGATTAGCTTATCAATGGCTAGGTTATGAACAACATATCGTAGTAATTGACTTTTTGCTTTTATCAATACTTACTATGAGTTAGAGGAGGGTAAAATTTATAAGTATGCAAATGTGCATGTGCCTTGCTTACTTCAAAGCTCATGACTTTCAACTAAGTCACAATTACTAACTGCCCTCAGTGTTCCGACATGCAAGCAGTAACAATACGAACTCTAACACTTGTTGTTGTGCAGATTATTAATATGATTTTTATTCATCCCGTGAGTATTGATTGGAACTTCCGGCTTCAGCTGTACATCTCCACTGCACTCGATTCCCTAGCATCACCCTCAACTGGCTGCACGAGTGCCCACAGGCTGTCATCTCCTCTTCACATGATCTTCTCTATGTCACCTTTGGGCAACAAACTCTTCACTTGACATTAGAGTTCCGTAGAGAGGTTTCCTGATGTGTGACATCACTATCACTGTATGTCTCATCTTCCTTCTGCACACCTGCTGGTTGCTATCTGGTTCGCCGCCTACCAGAATTTCTTATTGCTTTTACTTTCTGACTGGCTATCTGATTTTTGATGTTGAGTGAAGAAAGGTGTTGGTGAAAGCGTATAGTATAGCATATTGGAAGTACTTTCGGTGATATGTGCTGCAAGTGCCTCAACCTTATAAAAGCACTGATTTGACAATATTGTTCTTTGTACTAAGTGATGGAGACCTTCACATTGATTTCAGAGTAATCAACGTATGGACAGAAATTCGTACTTATTACATTTCACATACTTCCATTTTGTTTTGTTTATTAGATGTATCACACAGTGAAACAGTATTATTTACTGGATCCATGTAATAAACAAACTAATATGGAATTACTTAATACCACAGTGCCCAAGTTTTACACATATCTCACATACTTATGTATCTCCTTCTGTGTTTGTCTGTGTGTCTTTATGTCTTTCATTGTATTTATCCACCTCTTGTATAATTATTTTCCTTTTTTCTTACACACCAGGCCGTAGAGATGTTGTTTCAACGTGGTCTAGTAAGAATATTATTTGCTACTGAAACATTCGCTATGGGTGTGAATATGCCGGCACGTTGTGTCATTTTTACTACACTGGAGAAATTCGATGGTCAAAAACGTCGTCCATTGAATTCAAGTCAGTTTTGATTCTGAATTTTTATTGTTATATGCTCTTTTTCAGAGGAAAAATAGGGTATCAGTTTTTAGTCTAATCTTCCCCTCAAATTACGTTGAAGGTAAGTGGAAAATAACAACCGACGAAGCTTGTGACGAAAAAATGTAGGAAAGCCCCTTTAGCTGTTAGATAATGACTTCAGAATTGATATTTTAAAATTATTGATCGACAAGTTAACTCCGATAAAACACTCGCTACTAGGTGGTTAAAATTGAACTTGTCTACATTTATACTCTTGACCTTATTGTTCGACTTTCATCCACTTTTTTGAATTATTTAGTTTCATATAGGTTATATAACGCTTCTACCTAATATATGTTGACAATTTCACGTTTATAATCAAATTTCCAAGTTCCTCCTTAACTTTTGAAGATTTTTGCGATTTTACTAACACCTGTTACTCTTCCCTTACACCCTGTATGTATTTATTTACTTAATATGTAAGTCCTACTGTGGCATGTACTACTGGTAAATTTATCACTAGTGTATCACGAGATGTTTGTCGGCATAAAAACATCAAGTAGCAGGGAGATAGATTTGATGTCACAGAAAGCAAATGATACAGGGTTGCGGAGACATATGGGAGAAGTGAAAGGAGCACAAAGAAACACAATATGAAGGCCAGAAGTAGTACAACATGTAGAAGATCTGTGTAAATGGTGATTTGAAGATAGGGTGTACGTAATTCAGCTGTATGAAGATACCAAATTGCAAAGGAACATTCCGTTACCAAGTCTTTCGTCGTTTACCACTAGAGTGGGACCTGCAGGAAGATTAGTTCCAGCTAGTGTTGTTTGTTGAGTTATTGCGATATGAAGCCTGACCACTACGGCGAAGTACCAGCTTTAAGAGTGGGGTAAGAAGATCTTAGGCGAGAAAGTTTACTGGATTTTCCAAGCACATCTCTAAGAGCTTTATAATGCAAAGTAAGAAAGTGTTTGCGAGTGCAATCGTAGTTGTCCTGTACCCTGAGTCATACTTATTATATGCGAACTGCTGATTCTACCCAGCCTAAGTAAGTGGGTTGAGACTAGAACCTAGAACCCGTTTTCTGGCAGCCAGGTACCCTGTTTGACATGGGGCTTACAGTTGAAACCAGCCAGGCCTTGAAAATAACCTGGAAACAGAGATGAATCCTTGCTTTGCAGATGCCATTTTCATCGAACAATTTCCACCTAGCCTCTGTTAGTGGAAACACTGCGTGTGCCCCCCCCCCCTCCCCTCCCACTAGTAACGAGGTGACTCTCTTTTTTGTTGCGTCGAGCATTTTATTGTTTGTTTACACGTACTAAATTTATTTCTACTAACAGTATCTTTTCACTTTCTTCTCCTATTATTGAAATTTCCATCATATTGCATATGAATAAACTGTGGTTATCAGATTATTGATTCGTTGAAAAGATTTTCTGCATATCACAAGGGGAATTTTACAAAAATTATTAATTATGTCGTAATTGTACCCTTGTTTGACTACTGTAATACGAATCAATAAGAACTCTTAGAGATGAAATAACTTTTGAAATATGTTACATATTTACATTTTTAGTAACCTGTATCATTTGAAGGCTTTTATTAGCTGAAGAAAAGCTGTGAAATAAGAAATGAGCTGTTTTTTTATTCCCTGCCTTACTGAAAGTATATGCACAATTGTTTCAGATTGCGTGAAGATGACAAGATGTAATGAAATTATTATTATTATTATTATTGTATCCTTTAGTTCCTAGAGGAACATAGGGCTACAGCTGCGCACCTCCATTTCCTTCTGTTTTCTGCCAACTTTTTCACCCCGCTCCAGGTCTGTCCACATGCTTTCATCTCCTCCTCACATGACCTCCTCCAGGTCACCCTTGGACGACCAACTCGCCGCTTCCCTTTCGGGTTCCACTCGAGGGCTTGTCTAGTGATGTCACTTGATGGTTTCTTCAGAGTATGACCAGCCAATCCATCTCCATTTCTTCCTGCCTATTTGTTTCACAATCGGTTCCTGATTGGTTCGCTCATTGACAGAGATCCCTGTTGCCGATCTCTTCTGGCCGACCATCCGATCTTGAGTATTGAGCGAAGACAACTGTTAATGAAGGTCTGAAGTTTGTTTAAGATGCTCTTTATGACGCTCAGTGCAAGTCTCTGATCCATACAGTAAGTAGCACTCACTTCACATTGGAGTTGAAAATCCGGATGTTATTTTTGATGCTGATTGCTGTTGACCTCCACACAGACTTAAGATTAATGTAAGCTTGTCTTGCTTTTCCGATTCTGGCTTTGATATCCTCTTCAGTTCCGCCTGTAGTTAAAACGATGCTTCCGAGGTAGGTAGGTAAAGGAGGTTGTTTCTTTCAGGTTCCTCCCATTTATGCTGGCGGATTGTTGTCTGTTGTTGTTGCTGTTGGCCAGGAATCTTCATCACCTCTGTTTTATCTATGTTCACTTGAAGTCCTATCTTTGATGCTTCTTCTATCTCCAGCTTGTTGCTTTTCACTTGCATATCTTCCAGTTTGTGGGAAATCAGACATATATCATCGGCGAAGTTCAGATCCTCCAAGTTCTCTTTTTGTGTGAGCCCATTTTATGCATGTTTCCTCGTTGCACGTTGTCTGTCTGTCGCATTATCCAATCTACTGCAATCAGGAAGACCATTGGCGATAGTAGACAGCCTTGCCTCACTCCTGTCCTCACTTCGAAGGCTTCCGTAAGTTTCCCGTTGTGGATTACTTGGAATGCAGCATTGTCGTATAACTGTTGAATGAAATGTATAATTGTCGATGGGACCCCGTAGTAGCGAAGTAGTTTCCAAATCACCTCTTGATCGACGCTATCTTCTGAAGGCATTTTCAAAGTCGATGAAGTTGAGTGAGGTGAAGAGATGACTGCCATTCCAAGCTTTGTTCAATGATGATCCGTAGAGTGGCGATTTGATCAATACATGATTTGTTTCTCCTGAATCCAGCCTGTTCCGGACGAAGTTTTTCATCTAGGGCTTGTTCGATTCTCTTCAGGATGATGCGACTTAGTATTTTGCTTGGAATGGACAGAAGCATAATTCCACGCCAGTTTTTGCATTGGCTTAAGTCTCCTTTCTTTGGTAGTTTGAATAAGTATCCTTTCTTCCAATCCTCAGGTACTTTGCCCTCTTTCCACACCTTCTCCAGCAGTGGTGTCATCTAGTCCGCTGTTGTCTCTGGGTCTATTTTCAATGCTTCTGCTGGGATTCTATCTGGTCCTGCTGCTTTTCCGGATTTTAGCATCTTGATTGCATTCAGGACTTCTGATTTCGTCGGGGGATCAATGTTCACTGGTAGTTCTGCTTCCGTTGTTGGTATTGTTGGGCGTGTTGTAGGTGGCAGACGACTTAGAAGTCTTTCGAAGTGTTCAGTCCAGTGTTTTCTTTGCTCCACCTCTTTGGTGATAGACTTTCCATTGTCGTCCTTTATTGGCTTAATCTGTGTCGAACTTTTGCCCGATAGGTACCTAGTTGTTTGGTAGAGTGTGGCGAGGTCTCCTTTGCCCGCAGCTTGTTCTGCTTCATTTGACATGGTTGCATAATATTTTCTTTTGTCTTGACAAGATGCAATGAAATAAAACAATAATACTGTAATATTATCCTTACTTAATATGTTCTTGTTTTGTTCAAATCTACCTGCTTGATTATACTTAGTTATGACGAATATATTCGGTTATTTCGAAATAATAATGGAGGAGATTTGTAACTCATGTGGATGTTTTTTGGGGTTGGGGATGTTGTTGTTGTTGTTGTCCTGTGAGCATTAAAGTTAATTTACCATCAAGATATTGTCCGGGAAACACAATGAACAATTGTCAGTGTGACTTGGATATTTGGACTACCAAGCATTAAACAGTCATAGATTGTAATTTTACAGTATTTTTAAAATGTGAAACATTGTACACTTGTACTAAGTTTATAGTAGCTTTTTGGTCTTAACAGTTGTTTTATTTCAGTACTTCTGTTTTTCTGCTTGAAGACAGATTTGTGCTATGAACAGTGTCGTACTGAATAATGCGCTGATGATGTTTGAATTATCTAAAAAGACAATAAAGGCTTTGTAATTGTATAACACAGTGAGCAACAGTCACTCCAGGAAGAAAAACAGGACGAGAGCTCGGTAACAGCGTGTGTGCTTGGCACAATGGCCGAAATCAGAGAGCCCTAGTCAAGCCCTCACAAACAAAACACAGTCTAATTGTCCTATTGATATTGAGTTCTGATAGACGTTGTGCCTCTTACTCCACAGAATAGACTTCTGGGTGTTTTCCTGAAAGGGAGAAAAGAAAACAGTGTTAAGTACTCTATCTATAACAGTTTTTGCTTTGTTACAAGTGAACACAGTCAAATCAAAATCATCCATGTGAGGTACACATAATGTGTGATAGTAATAATTTCTTTTCACACTTATTTCTATTTCTTTACACACTAAGTCTTTGGTTTTTTTTAGGTGAGTATACACAAATGGCTGGTCGTGCAGGTCGTCGTGGTTTGGATGCTTCAGGATCTGTGATTATCCTACTTGGTAGTATTGGTAAATCTGTTACCTCAGCTAGCTCAGGTTTACCGCCTGAACATACTCTGAGCGATATAATTCTTGGCAGGCAAACTCAGCTAGTTTCAAAATTCAAGATCACCTACTCTATGATTTTACACCTACATCGAACGAATTGGTTGAGTCCACAGGTATATTGCTAACAATCAGTTGAACAATTTTCCTGCTTTCTTTCTTTTCTTTAATATTAGACTTAGGTATTCAATTGAAAATGTGTTGTACTAACTTTAAAATTACTAACTGGTTCATCCCATGTGATGACTACTATCTACTATTCTTTTATCATCAGACATGTTATCAAAATATCAAAACTAGTTCAGTAGTATAGTGAAGGCCAACTATGGTCAAATACTTTAATTCTGTAGGGTTCGTCGGATTTTCATTACTTCAAGTTTGACTACAGATTGATATCAGTTAGAGAACCATGGGAAACCAGGGAGTGCTTGACAGCTGTTTCGTCTTGGTCCTTGGAACTCATCGACAGTGCGCCCCCCCTGGGATTCTAACCCTGGACCTTCCGGTTACAAGGCGAGCTCATAGACTGTTCAGCCATCAGGATCCTCGTACATTAGAATCGACTGTTTTGCTTCAGTTCCCCACCTTATTTCGATGGGTAATCCAATGTTTGTTGTAATATGTCAACGAATTTAACCAAAAACAAACCAAACCTTGTCTATTTGGGCCCAGATTTCATCACCTGGTCACCTATGAAGAATGTTGCAACTCCCTTTTTACCTGAAATACGTGATGCGTGTAACGACTTCAGTACCCATAGTCAGGTGGATTAATGATGCGGATTAGTCCTGGTATAGCAATTAACATTTGCTAAGTTAAAGACGTACCTCAAACAAGTTTAGACTTATATCAAACTTTCAGAAGGCTCTAAATATCGTTGAAATCTCTACTTAACAGAATCGTTTTACCTGCATATCCGAAGTAAAAATGAATTATTTGCTGCTTGAAAGTCAACTCCTGTGAATTAAGAATGGATATATAAATCCTCATAACTGTATGTATTGAAAGTTCAATAAAGTGGAAGGAGTGGAAAACCTTTTGCGTACACCACTTTGTGTAGGTACCTCATTGAATGGCTTATCATAGGCTCTGTGGATCTTTTTTAAATGTGATATCGCTAAACACGTGTGATGTGTGCAAATTCACTACTAACTTTAGCTTGGAGTGACGCGTATCTAGTAGGGGCAGTTTTCAGAAGTGTCGGGATTTACCAGACTTGTAGATCATAACTATCACTAATCTTTGGCTGCTTATCTATGAAATGCGTCGTGAACAGCAGGTATTCTCATGAAAAGGTTAGAAATCGCAGTGCTTTGTTAGTGTAGTTCATATCTTAAAGCATGTATTGTAGGGTTCGACTGTTGTGTAATGCGACAACTTTCGTTGTCTCCTAACAGAGTGTCAGTGATTTTGAAGTCGTCTTTCTTGACTAGAATAAACCTTCGGTCATGACACAGTTGCCAACTGATCACTTGGAAACATTCCTCAACACTGAGGTAGACACAGAAATCAGATTTAATTGCGACAACAACTTTATGATAAAAAATACCAGATATTTATCGTTTACACTTCCATGGTAATTTAAACCATGAACAAATAATCAATAGGAGGATTGAGCGAAGAAATATTTACTTTCCAGTTAGATCCTCATCTATGGCTCTACTCTAATATGTATAACATTTTAATTACAATACAGCAGTTTGCCAATCAAGTGGAGATGTTTGTTAACAATAATTAAACAGTGTCAATGGGTTAATAGTTAACGAAGAAAATCAATACAGATTTAAAAGGTAGAAATGGATAGAATAAATTAATTTTACAAGGATAACACGTAAATTAAAGATGAAGTGGTCAAAATAAATTAAAATAGAATAAATAATTTAGACAAATATAATTTTTATAGGTTTAGAGGGAGAGGGGCGATGCAGTCCTGTTTATCCATTCTTGTGACGATGGCCACGGTAGGCAAAGTGGTTGTACAAATTTTTTCTGTACACATAGGCTTGGCTTCTTCAGGTGAATTCCAATCGCTTCAGCCGTCTGTAAGAGACGAACTCGCAGAGCAAAATTAAGATAAGTCAGAATGCGATAAATAATTTTGAATGCTGTATTAACATCAATCTTATGCTCAGTATCAATGAGGTGGGCTAAAATAGAGCTACGAATAGATCTTTTTTGTCCCTTACTCAACCACGTTGGATGATGTTTGGAAATACGACGATAAACTTGCCTGATTGTACGCCCAGTGTAGCTGGCTCCGCAGCTGCAGTCAAACTGGTAGATACACATAGAGGAGGCGAATTTAGGTGGTTTATCCTTATTTCTCGAACATAAAATAGGTGTGGTTGTAAAGAGACAACGTACCTCTGCTGCATAATAAGTTCTTTTAACTGCATTCTTCAGGCGCTGTGTTATTATTTCGCTGATGTTGTCACTGAGGAACTGCAATTTTATGAACATTGGTTTTTTCGTGACTGTGGCTATACTGACTCTCCTTGGAGCTGAATTCATATTTTTCTCAATGAATTTATCTGGATAGCCATTTTTTCTAAGTAATTCTCTAATAATCTTAAGCTCCTCATTGAGGCAGTCGTCTGAACAGATTAACCTAGCTCTATGAGCCAGACACTTCACGGGATTACATTTATATTTCAAAGGTACAAAACTCTATTGATTTTAGGTGCCTGTATGAGTTTATATATTTTGTTCAACCTTATGATATTGTAATCTCCTAGCTATTGTTTGTCTTTCGATGCACTGTAGGCGCATTTAATTTCCGTCTGTTCTCACTGCAACAGTAATTATTTTCTTGCCTTCTGATTAGGATGTTATGCGACGCAGTTTTATGGAAGCAGCTGGTCTTAGACGTGAGCTTGAGCGTAGGCAATGGTTAACAGCTCTGCGCAAAAAACTCGACCAAACAACTACATTTATTCCGTCTGCGGGATCGTCTAATGTTTCTACCCAACTTATACGCAATTCTAGTAAGACCTTAACGAGTACAATTAATTCACGGATATCTGTTCCGTTTGGTGAACCAATATTACAAGTTAAATGTCCCCTTGGTCAAACAGGCTGTTGTGATGAAATGACCACCTATTATCAAGTTAGTCTACTTACTTGTTATTGGTGTTGTCATTTTTGTTTTTAACCTCAATATTTTTACCAATTAAACTAAAGGATTCATTATCGGACCATGAAATAGTTTATTGTAACAAAGATTTACTTGTCGGGTTATCATCTAGTAATGCTTCAAATCCATTATTCGAAGGTTGTATTACTCACCGACTTCTAAGTGATACTACTTTGCAGTGATTATAATCCTTCAAACATATGGTGAATGCCTCATTCTCTGGACTTTTTTCTGAACTACTTCGACCGTAAAAGTAGTATTTTTTAGACCATAGTCCAACGACAACTCCAAAAGCATGTAGTCTTTCTTTGTTTGGTGTTTCCATCAGCTATACCGCACAAGACTAATTAATGACAGCGCAAACCGCTTCACAGCACACAGCGTTTTTGGAATGGGTGGAAGATTTGTGGCTCAGTTGGCTGTCCATGGTATCAATTTATTCTATGAGCTCAACGAACATTATTTCTCATTATTTATTTCAACACAAACTTGGTACATTAAGGGTGAACCAAAAAATACGCCAGACAGGGTCGCACAGTTCGCGTGAGGCTTGGAGTGCTGCTCGAACACCCAGATCGAAGCAGGCGGTTGTCTTATGGGGCCACATACTGAGCTGTTGACTTGAGATCTGATCCACATGGCAGGGGGGCAGCATCAGAAGCTACGTTTCCATGGTTTTTGGTGACCAAAATAGGTTCATACACCACCATCCGGTCCTTTCGGATTCTGTAGCCCATGTACATCATAGCTTGGAAAACAAGGTTTCCTATCTCCCTTAGGTGAATCTGTTTGTTCACCAGTCGAAATGCAATCCCCAGACTCACATTCTCATTCACCTTTGAGAAGAAGGCTGTAAATAAGTCTTACCTGGCAGAGGCTATGGCTCAGCGAACACTGCTTTCTGATGAACTGTCGGACAACTTGCCTTCTGTAATATCAATGGAGGTTGGCGAATGCCACAATTCTTTATCCGTTTTGATGAATAATAAGGATATATATCTGCTTATCAGACAAACGTGTGTAAATCATTACTTATCTCTGTTTATAAGGAATATAGCAAATTTTCCTGTCATCAGTCTAACTAATAAATTATCTAATATATTGGGGTCCTTGGTTTTTCATAGTTACGGTTAGTTAATATAAGGGAAGCGTGGCTCATTTCTTACCTCGACGAGTGTAAACTGATCATATATTCACGCTTCCAAAGGTTCACAAACATAGGCATACTTATCGGCACGCATTAGTTGTCATATTTCTTGTCCTAAGGGTAACGAATGGTCTTGTCGATCGAAAAGTGTTGTGAAAAAATCCGTCTATGAAGAAAGTGACGAGGAAGTTTATTTTACTAATCTAAGCATTCTACTTGAACTCATGCGGTTATGTTTTTGGAAGGATATCGTCCACAGTGATGTCCATCCGTTGTTTCGTTCCATAATGTTTGTAACTCATGTTAAATTTGATTTTCCACTATTTGACTTGTTATGACGAATGCGAGTCTTGTTGATTTTTAATATTCAGAGGATGTAGTCATTATAGGGGAAGAAGTCGACAAAATCCAGAGTCTTTCGAACATTCTCATCAAAAATTCAGGTGTCTGGCACCCAATATTGTTTAGATAAATGTAAGATGGCTCTTTAAGAGTGGTATGCATCAGTTGTTTGTGTAATACCGAAGAGTGTAATGATTGGATGTTTTAGTCATTTGACTAGTTGGAGAGGGGGGGGCTGCATGAACTGAATCCTAATGGACCTAGGAAATCTCAGCATGGCTAAGAAATATTCGTCTAGTATTCGCCTACATGCGTAGTCTTTTGCACAGGCAAAAAGTAGGTCTTATGTTAATCCTGCACCAATTTGCTTCCTCCATACTTTACGACTGAGTAACACGACAATGGAAGCTACAATACCTGAAAAAGTTGGAAACTTTTGAAACTGTAAGCATTCAACTGCTCGAGTCCTATAGAGCAATATGGTAAACGATCTTGGGGTGAAGTTCTGAGCGTTGGGTAAGATATTAAAGTTTATCTAATGTATTACTCATAGCAACCTCCGCCTTTTGTGACAAGCAGTGCCATCTGAAATGGTGTTAGTTTTGGCGAAAATTACCTTTGGTAAAGCCGAAAGATGTCTTCAGTTCACAAAGTCTCTGACTGTTGTTCCTACCCATGTAGGTAGTTGTATACCACCACGTTCTGTCTTCTGACTTTTTAAAAAATCCTGATTTTTTGAAAATATTTAATTATCCTGTTTGTTGTACATCCTCATTCACCACGGTTTTGATCATGTTGCTTTTTACTGAACTTTAATGTGCGAATTTTTTTCAGTTGGGACAGCTTGAAGTGATTGACTTTTGCGTAAATCTCTGTTTTTAAGTTTGCCACACCTAAAATAACTCAACATTTATCATTCCGAACTCTGTATCTTCAAACTTATCTACGATTTGTTTAATTTTGTGCTGTTGATTTCGACTTCGTTAGGTTTTATATTGTTATTCTAATTTATTATTTTTGAATTTATTTTATTCTTTTGCGTTCCCACTGAAACATGAAGCTTCAAGCGAGATTTTTGAAGTTTCCGTAGTAATGATCTCATTTTTACGGTGTGGAATTGCTAGTCTCACGCCCAGCCTTCCCTTTTGCCGGACTTATTATGAGGCTAAGAAATGTTTGACAGTGCATCAGGCGGGATCAAACCCCAAACCTCCTACCGATCTCTGCTACCTTGACGTGGTGGTCGGGCTTGCATATCGCAATGACCCAACAAACTACACTGGCTGGAACTATTGTTCCTGCAGGTCCCACCATGCCAGGAAGATTGTTAGGATAGTGATTAGACTATAAGCAGTTACGGCTATGCTTGGGAGTCTGTGGGCGAAGTCGTACTACTGCGGAACAGGGATGTAATAGTTTCCGTCAGATGCCCAGCATGCCAGCCAGCTATTTTCTCTCTCGACTCTGAAGAGAAGGGGTCAGAAAAGGTCAACGGCAACAATCGTACATCCCGACTTACCTTACGGCCGTCCGTAACCAGCGGTAAGTTTACTAATACGGAACCAATCCAAGAAAGCGGCGCATACAAGCCCTGTTTGACCGGCCTCAAGCAGTTGTCCCTTGGGCTCTGCAGTCACGCAACACTAACCCTCTTTCTGTTTTAGGTACCCGAAGAATCAACCAACTTCTACGGTGTGGACAACCGGGAAGTAACAACCGCCCACACACCTCCAAGAGCAGACGTAGCCCCTTCGTGCATCATTCTCCTTTACCACGTCACCTTCTTCATCTTTCCCCCCTATTGCAGTCAGTACTATTCTTTAGACTAGCGAGTCATCTTCACTTCACTCTGTGACCACAAATAACGATGAGAGCCATAGAAACACCCCAGATAGCCTTTTAAAGCCACGTCGCCAACTTCATATAGGAGCATTCAACGTCAGGACCCACTGCCAAATCGGACAACAGGGATCACTAACAATAACTCTGGCATCTCAAGCCATAGATGTATGTTGTGTATCGGGGACACGTATACAAAACTCGTGTGTGGTTATTCACTTAACCTCACCCGGCCAACAAGGTGAATCTGCAAAATTCACTTTAAGGGTGTCAGGAGACCCCTCAGCTAGCTCGCGAGGACTCGCAGGTATAGGGATAGCATTGAGTGTTGAGGCAGAAAAATCACTTCTTTACTGGATCCCAGTAGATAGTCGTATGTGTGCTGTCCATCTGAATTGGTCCGTTAGAAGAAGGAAGAACAGCGTTACTCGTCATTATCTTTTCATAGTCTCCGCTTACCCCCAACAGACTGGAGTTCGGATGAACTGAAGGATGACTTCTACCTAAAACTGTCTAATCTGCTGCAAAAACGAAACGTTCAGATATAGTTGTTTTAGCAGGCGACTTCAATGCCCAAGTAGGGAAGTTGTGCCAGACTGAGAAGTATGTAGGTGGTACGTATGGAGTTCTCTGCCGACGAACCTACAACGGTGATCATCTTCTACAGTTCTATCAAATAATCATTTGTTCTTAATTAGCACTAACTTTAGGCATAAAGAGAGACATTGTGCAACGTGGCCACCTCCACCAAATCAACGCTGAACTCAGATAGACCACATATCGAAGAGTATCGTTGGCGAGGGTCAGTAGAAGACTGTCGCTCCTTCTGGAACACGTGCGTAGACCCTGATCACGCTGTGGTTCGCGCACGTTTATGCTTACTACTAAACGAACATAAGAGATTGACAGCAGCGAAACAGTTACGTCCTTTAACTAGATCGAGACTCTGAGTGCCTGTTTAAGAAAGAAATAGCAAAACGAGTGTCTGAGGTCGACAGCAGGACTTCCCCTGAGGTAGCCTGGAACAATATACAGTTAGCTGTAGACACAGCTGTAAAAGCTGTTAATAGGCTAAAACCAAAAGTTAGTAAGAGCCATTGGATCTCTACCGCCTCATCCGAAATGATTGACGCAAGAAGACTGATTCCGGTGAGCTCCGATTATGATGAGGAGCGAAAGCTACTCAAACGGAAACTAACAACAAGTCTTCTCAACGACTGTGAACAATGGTGGGTGAGAAAAGCGAAAGAGATGGAAAAGGCATCGGTGATTAGTAACATCAGACTACTATTTCGATTTATCAGGGAAACAAGTGGGAAAGTCAAATGATAAGTGAAACAATCTCTAGGAAAAATGGCACCATAATTAGCTCCCAGGACAGACGACTGGAACGCTCGGAAGAACACTATGAGGAGCAGTTTAATTCGCCTACAGCCACGCTCAACCTGTCGCACACCCAACACCTCCCTGAATGGGATATAGACACAGGTCCTCCGTCCCTAACTGAGGTTGCTAAAGCTGTCACTAGTCTGAAACAAGCCAAAGCAGCAGGACCAGAGGTGGAGACATTTTACTGTCTGCGTTAACTAAGGTACTAGGAAGCGTCTGGGAATCAGAGGAAATCCCGTCGACCTGGTGTAAGTCA